GCTTTCAGACAAGGCTGTTACGTCATCGAGAAATTCCGCTTGGGAGTGACGTTCCAGAGAGCTTATAGACAGTGTCGCCACCGGGATTCGGAGCCTGCGGAGCTCAGAACACGTGAAGTACGTATACAGTGAACTGAAGCAGTGTGTATCTAGTGAATCAGCACATGGTTGTACAGTGTGGTGGTCTCTCATTGTCTCTGTCTCTCTCTGTGTCTCTGTCTCTCTCTGTGTCTCTGTCTGTCTGTCTGTCTCTCTCTGTCTCTCTCTCTGTCTCTCTCTTTCTGTCTGTCTCTCTCTGTCTGTCTGTCTGTCTGTCTGTCTGTCTGTCTGTCTCTCTCTCTCTCTCTCTCTCTCTCTCTCTCTCTCTCTCTCTCTCTCTCTCTCTCTCTCTCTCTCTCTCTCTCTCTCTCTCTCTCTCTCTCTCTCTCTCTCTCTCTCTCTCTCTCCTCTCTCTCTCTCTCTCTCTCTGTCTCTCTCTCTGTCTGTCTCTCTGTCGCTCTCTCTCTGTCTCTCTCTCTGTCTCTTTGTCTCTCTGTCTCTCTCTTTCCCCCAAGCCGACTCTTTACTATGAGCAGTTTCCTTTACCTCTAACTGATATAATTTCAAATGCCGTTGCCTTTATCCTTCCTATGCCACTGTGATAGGTCCATCAGCTAGTGGCCGAACTGTCCAAGTCGGAAAACAGCTGGATCGGTCTCACCGATGTGCGTCGGGCTCCTACCCCACAACAGCCGTAAGAATCGCGGGAGATTTGAGCCAGCCGAGCATGATAATTATCATAAACCCCGTGCATGGGATTTACGGTTTTTGACGACTTTGTCGTAGGCCTGTATCTGGCTCGCTCTTTACCAAACCGACTCATTGCTATGAACATTACTGTTCACCTTTGTCATGGGATGTACTTACATGATGAGTACTAGTACTAGCAAGAGACCATAACCCCCAGAGTGTGCAACTCGCGATAAGGTCTTGTCACGACTCGTTTTCAACATTGCATCATTTTCAGGTAGCGAAAGTCGCGGCCTGCACGCGCAGCTACATGACGATTGTCGTGGCCTGCACGCGCGCGCAGCTACATGAAAATGACGTAATGTTGAAAACGAGTCGTGACAGAGATTTGTGTGGCGTTGCACACAAGAGTGCATAACCGCCAGGTATCAAGTACATATACCAGGACTCTGCACTACTCCAGTCCGAGTCGAGATGCTTCGAGTAGTGCGCAAAAATCCAACCGTTGTGACACAGCCCAGCAAGGCCATTAGACAAACGCTAGAAATGCAGATTTGCCGTAACTTGTTGCTATATTACAAACTAAAACTATTGGGACCAGTTGCACTGACCTTTCCCCTCACAGTCATTGATCATCCATCAGCACTCGGCCGAAGCCCGGACATAGGCACCCACCGGGCTACCATTCAGCAGCCGAAGGTGGGGCCATGCATCATATGGATATTAAATACCGTATTTCCTTGAACAGCCGCCGCGGCCTGTATTCAAAACTAGCAAAACGGGTGCGGCCCTGAAAAATAGTTGTACGTCACAATGTGCGTGCTGTATGCGTAGAGTTCACATACGATGTGCACTGCTGAACCTTTGTTGTCCAGCTACACTGTAGGCTAGTGCATCTTCTTTTCTTTTCCTGTTGCACTGCAAAGAATATCATGGCGAGGGAGCTTGAGGCTAGACTAGCAAGTTAGTTGCATGTTCAGCAGCAGTTGTCCCTCATGCCGACGAGGATGAAGTAGAGGAGCATCAAGAAGACGTCGACGCTGACAATTTTGGATGCAATAATAAAAAAGGACGCGCAAGTTTTGTTCTCTCCCGTTTGATTTCTCTTTCTGCGTTCGTTTCTTTCTCAGCGTCAGTGTCCACTTTCTCCTAGACGTCACCAGACAAGTTCTCCGATCTGAGTTCTTGGTTTTGTAGATTTGACAATCCTCAGTGCGTCTTCACATTTGATCCGTTTACTTTGTTCGCGTACCATTTTCTTTTTTGGTGGTCGATAAAATGACTCATCTTGCTCTTCGTTATGTTGTGAGAGCTAGAGGCCATCATCATGGCGTGTTCGATTTGTTCCCTTCTTTAGATCGCCTTTGAGTCCTTTGTCCGAACAGAGAGCAGCACTAGCTGCATGTGAAGGAGTATGACATCGCGTAGTTGAAGGTCATCTCGTAGCTGTGAAATTGCGTATAAATTGTGAACTGCTCTGTACTTGTGTACGAATAACCCTCAGTTCAAATAAACTGGTGGCGCTTATTCAAGGGCGGCTGGTAATCAAGGGGCGGCGGGTGTTCAAGGAAATTCGGTATGATGGTAGGTAAACAAGAGATCGAAACAAACAACACCTTTTTTTAATATCGATCATAGGAAACACGAGAGGGATTGGAGGAAAATAGGGATTATTATTATTATTATTTCACTCAACTCGTCTTGTAGGAGTCGTAGCCCTTGACCACTTGGCGCACACACAGTGCGAGGGAGTGGTGATAGACAATAGCAATAGAGTGGCTTCACACCTATCACATGATCATACAGGGCAGCCATGTTGGTTACAACCCTGCTCAACCCCTGCATCTATGGGTCATGTGATGTCGGCCATGTTGGTTACAACCCTGCTCAACCCCTGCATCTATGGGTCATGTGATGTCGGCCATGTTGGTTACAACCCTGCTCAACCCCTGCATCTATGGGTCATGTGATGTCAGCCATGTTGGTTACAACCCTGCTCAACTCCCGCATCCACGTTGTGTTGGTCACGCGATGTCCACGTGAAATGGTCACTTTCGGCACAAATTTTGTCACATGACAAATATGTGAAGCCACTATATTCTTGATTTTTGTTTGTGTGTTTGCTCACGGGCACTCTGCACTGCAGTATTCCTTACTGGATCTACGGCAAGCGTACACTGGAGGGATCCAGCTATCAGCCGAGAATCGAAACCGCCTTCTACCAGCAATGGAATGGTCAGACCTGCTTCTACATGAATGGAACGGGGAGCATCGTCACCAGCAAATGCACAAGACAGGTCCGGGCGGTCATCTGCCAGAAGCCCAGAGCAGGTAGGGACTAAATCAGATCAGCCTATGTACTTGAAGTACTCTCAATAATAGATACAGTGAAACTATAATTCCTACGACGACCACTTCAGGGACCTTTAAAACGTGGTCTCTGTTAGCAGGTTTCCTCCTTATCCTGGGTCATTTGACTGTACGTAGCATCCCTTGGTCCTGGTTGCTGTTGTCTTCAGGGACAGGTGGTGGCCTTATCAGAGTGGTTGCCGTGACAGGTTTCTTTGTACATGTAGTACATTTTGCAGAGCATCGGATGGTCCTTCAGCATGCACACACCCGGACTATCCATTGGAAGATAATGCTCGAAAGTTGGCAGGTTCTGCTCAAAAAGCTGCTCAGTTGGCTGGCACTTCCTTGAATTCTACTGATTTTTGTCCAGATGCCTAACATGCATGAAACCTGCCAGAAAATGTATCAAATTCTGGCAATGTTTCTGCTAAAATTCTAAAATTCTGCCAATTGTCTGCCAAAGTTGTAAAACTCAGCCAATGTATCCGCCGGCATTATCCGCCAACACGTCACCACCTCTTCGCTACAGACACCAACAAAAGTATTGCAACTGTAGCCGTGTTAAGTGGTGACGATCCTTAGATTATGTGGGCAGGGTAGGGGTAGAGGTTGGGGGAGCACAGCCCGAATTCTTTGACCACAGGAAGTCCATTGGTCAAGTTCAGAATTGCAAACTTCATACCGGTATTTAAACTTGGATACCTCACCAGTATATATAATTAAAATAGAAGAAATCACATGGAAACTAGTTATGAAGCAACTATCCACAGCTGTAACAAGAAAATATGCCGTCAGAAAGTGCGATAACTCGTTTCCATGTGATTTGTTCTACACGTATTTTAATCATACCGGTCTCTTGTTCATTTTGGAAATGGGCCTGTCGCACGTCTTTCACGTGCCATGCGTACATGTATATGCCCTGACCAGCATGTGTGTCATGTGTTTGTTGTCTGTCTACCGATGTGTGTGTGTGTGTGTGTGTGTTTGTGTGTGTGTGTGTGTGTGTGTGTGTGTGTGTGTGTATGTGTGTGTGTGTGTGTGTGTGTGTGTGTGTGTGTGTGTGTGTGTGTGTGTGTGTGTGTGTGTGTGTGTGTGTGTGTGTGTGTGTGTGCAGATGTCCAGGTCTGCCCAAGATGCACTATCAAGAGAAGGAGCGAGGAGGAAAGGCACCTGGTTGAGAAGTCTCGCTGCAGCGACTTCCGTAAGCACTTGAAAGGACCAGTTAGGGCAACTTGCAAGCGGCAATGCTGAGTGTTGGTTTCTTAAGATTGAAGGGAAATGGGTCACGCATCGTCAGCGTATACTCGTACACTGATACTAACCTTAGAGATGGCTACTCCTGCAGACAGACCCACACTTGGCTAGCTCGCGATTGCAATCTGGTGCATACTGCCTAACCTGCAAGTAACAAGAAATAACCGCTTCTTGCTCAATGAACAGTGTTTAGGGACACTTCAGGCCCCTCATAAGCTGAGCTCGAATTGGCTTATGAAAGTGATGCTTAGAGACCACTACAATTGTGTACGCATGCATGTAGACTGAGTATGTATGTGTATCTGTCTGTCTGTCTGCGTTTGTTTGTCTGTCTCTCTAACGTTATTTATAATCTTTCCCTTTCTCTCCCTCCCCATTTCTCTCTCCCCTATCTCTCCCTCCCTATCTCTCTCTCCCTATTTCTCTCCTTATCTCTCTCTATCTCTCTCTCTCTTTCTCTCTCTCTCTCTCACACACACACACACACACACACACACACACACACACTCTCTCTCTCACTCTCTCTCTCGTTCTCTGTGCGTGTGTTTGCATATCTGTGCCCAAAAGTATCTCTTTTTCTGGCGTGGGCTGTCGTTCTATTTGGATGTCCAGTGATTGTAGCAAGGATGGCCAAGGAGAGCAACAGCCATTTCCTGCTCGACATCAAGGCCATCTGCTCCAATACCTCTGCCGCCTTTGGCATCCTCTCCGACAAGTATGACGTACAGAAGTCAACAGCCTACTGCGTTCCCGTGGAGAGACAACCTGAGCCCAAGCTCCTGCCCGTCCAGAAGCCCCTTGCCAGCCCAATGACGTCACGCTGCAAGCAACCATGCGGGCTGGGTCTGAGGTCGCGCCACGAGTACCTTCTCGCCGGCACCGTCCATGGCATCACGGGAGAGTTCTCGTTCCAACCTGGCGTGGCGATTCGCTGGGCTCGTGCCAAGAGCTACTTCGCGTCCCCACTGGCGACCGCCACCTGTGGACGGTAACATGCCCCTAGGTATGGATACTGGATGACTGTACTCAGTAACTCTTTGAATTTCACAGGCTATGTTTTATTATTACGAAGTAGTGGTTGCGACTTCGGCGATGATTTGATGATTTGTAAGAAAGCGAGCTCCAATGTGGGGAGCAAACCCTTTCTTATGTTTTATTATTATTATTGTAAAGCTTTCCTTTTGATCTTGTCTCTTATTGTTGTGTACTTTCCACAATATTGTGTTGCGTTGTAAAAAAATCAACAAAAAAGAAAGAAAAAAGTAAGATATCCGGGCCTTGCTAGGAAACTGCCAAGCTGGGAGACTTCGAACTGTCTGATTCAGCCAGTCAGATGCTTTACTGAGCTGGGCACCTACTCAGCATGATCTACTCTACCAACTCAACTTAACCACTGTGTTAAACCTGGTTCTTACTCTACCACTCAACTAAACTTAACCACCATGTTAAACCTGATTCTCACCTTGGACTTAATCATGTACATTAGTAGAGTGGCTGTGCTGGTTGGGAATGGAGTATTTCCCCTCTCCACAGCCACCATGTTCAATGTACTTCAGTCGCAAGTTCAGGATATCGTTTGTTTTTCTTGTTTGTTTTTGTTGTTCCATATTGACTGCTTTTACACAATCCGATTAGTCTATTGGCTTAACTTGATAATACACAGCGTGTTGACGCTTCTAAACCTCTTGTGTGAGCCTTGATGAGCGTCCAGCTAGAGTATCGTGCGGGTTGGTTTGGTTTGGAAAGCAATGGTCATCATCTCCAGATATCACGAAAATCGATAACTAGCCATAACGACAACCAGTTGGGGTGTCTATTTTTCATAACCATGCAAAGATCATAATGACATATGGAGCAACGCACAATTCCCCAAGTATCGCCGAAGGCGCCACAGCTTCGTGTTCACATTGCTATCCCCAGCACGGGCTTGCGAATTATGGTTTGGAGGCGACAACGTTGTGAATGGCCTACTGTCCTCAGCGCTTGTGCTGCGCCTCCATGAGCGACACTGACTCACGCTGCTACCTGGAGTTGGCGAGGTGTTTGTCGCGCTGGAAACGACGTTTCACTTTAGTTGGCATCCCTTGTGATATTGGTGGTGTTTAGGCTTGTAGAGTACCGCTGTGCATACTGCAGTGCTCTCGAAGCACAAATTTCATCGGCCCACTCAAGTGTTAGTTCAACTGATGAGGCTGATGAGACTGATGAGGCGTTTCTTTGCGTTGTTTTTTTCATTGATTTTGATGTTAGAAGGGGATTAGGGACTTTTGGATCTTTCCCCTACCAAATGGTACCGTTCACACATACAATTGTTTTTCAATTTTTTGGTGTTGTGTTCTAATCATTCGCCATGCCATTGTCAATTATATTCTGTTTGCCCGTAAAAGAGGCCTTATCATGATGAGGTGGGAATTCCCCCAAACGCTGTGTAGTTCAAGTCATACACTCACTTACAAATCTACCGGTGTCATGGTAATACATGTATGAAAAGTCGACGAGGAGACGAAAGCTTTAAAATCGCAATCACCTTAGTAAGTTTAAGTATTGGAATTTGGAAGCTGTTTTCATTCGCAAACATAACCCCAACATATGCATCCAGAAAGAAAATGTCACTAAACTTAGACTATTCTCTTAGCATTCACACACACACACATACACCCACCCACATTACCCATGCGCGTACTGCTTACACTTCACCCTCTCTGAGTCTTACATTGTTAGTATTTCTCACCTGCCCACCCCTAGGTTATTAGTTCACACTTCTCTTGTCTTTCGCACTTCGCCTTCTTTTCTCCTCATTTTCTTTCACATACATGTACTGCATTTCGTACTCTTGTGCCTTTGTGTACTCTTGATCTTCCACGTATTTGTATCGTTGTTTATTGCTAGATTTCGTTATTGCATGAGACGTATTTTCCCTGATGAATGTCTCTAGAAAACGTGCTCTGAAACCTTAGTAAGTGGAACCAAGGAAAACGGTGGGGCACAAGTTATGCGTTAGAATCCACCAACTAAACCAGGTTTTGAACAGTCAGACGTGCACAAGGTAGCACGAGACTGGAAAGGAGTACTGATTCTAACGCATAACTTGTGCCCCACCGTTTTCCTAGCTTGTTTCCATTCTAATATTTTCCTTTGCTCACCATCTGACTACTCGCCGTAGTAAGCTTACTATTAAAGGTATTAAAAAAACATTATAAACACTGCATATATTTGCCTGCACAAGTCGCTTCACTAGTATATAAATCAATGATCATTTTCACTGTTAGGAGATCCCCCCGATAGGCTATGCCTTTGGGAAATCCTTTAAATAATAAATATTCAAATATTCATAATGAGCGGATATTCCAAATATTCTGAATACTCATGCGTCTGCACACATCACTAGGGAACACTGTGTGGGCTCTAGGAACGTTTTCCTGTGACAACCATCAGCTAGAATACGTCACTGAATGGTAAATAAAGCATTTTTCTGTGTAGATATGTTTTAAAGTGAATGTACACAGTATAAAACCAATAGCGATTATAACACTTCAAAATGGCACTACAATTTGAGTGTGATAAAACAAAATGTGTGATTTTTGGAGATGCTTGAATAGCATTCCTTTCGTCTATGCATGAGTTGCGGACCATATGTACGGCCACATGGTCCAGACTAGCCATGATCCTGCGTGGCTACAACTTCCCGACTCAGTGAAGACTTCTGCATCATTGAAAGAATTTAAAGTGAATCTGAGGGCCTGCTGATGAGTGAGTGGACCAAAACTAATCAATATAGCTTTTCGGCTGTTTCCTTTTCATGCATATAATCTTCTCCTTCTTTTTACCATGGTTGGCTATCACCCACATCTTCCGGTTTTGGCTGCCATCGGAAGCCATACGATGTTGAATAAATTAATAAGAATTGTATTGCCGTTTTGGATGAATTGAGCGGAGCACCTCGGACGTACCGTGTGCGATGGGCTGATAGCAATGGAGGGGGAGGGGAGGCGCACACTGGGTACGATAGTGGAAGCCCCAGGGAGCCTTCGCCAATGGAGAAACCGAGAATCTTTGCCTGGTGGAAGGGCAGAAAGTTGGAAGACTTTGAAGCCATTTTTCCATACTTACCACTGGTGAATTGCTGGCATTACAGAGGAACAGCAGCATTATAAGTAGCACTATGATACAGTTTTTCTGGCATTGCCATTAGCATTATCCCGCAAAATAACTAGCATTATCCGCCCAGGCCTATCCATTGCACGCCTGAAAAATGTACTCAGTTATTAGGCGGGTTACAGAACTGTCGTTCGCTGGCTTACTTGCAGTTTTGATAACGCTTCGCTCTTCATTGAGATATCTACCATTCTCTCTTTTTTCTCCTTATTTTCTCCCCAACCCTCCTTCCCTGCAACATGGTAACATATTCGCTGCCTTGTCATTGAGCATTTGTGCTCGTTTGGATTAGCGAATTCAAATAAAGTATACAAACAAACAAACAAACAATGCCCAACATGAGTTGGTGAGGTGACAGATGCCTCTGCAACACTGGCCGTTGCTGAGGCCTGCTGCTCTCACTCACTGACTCCCAGTGGTGCCTAAACCGCGTCATACTCTTCACTTTTGCTTCTTTTTCCCTCTAGTTTTCTTTTGTCCGCGGAGAAGGTGGAGAGACCGAACGAGGATCTTCAAATGTTTGCTATAGGTTCTCTTTCTGTTTTATTTCACGTAGAAGGCGGAGAGCCCTAACGTGTGCATTTGGGAGGGGGGGGGGGGGGGGATGGCAACAACTAAATAGCGGAGGTCCCTCGTTCGAGTCCTGGTGGTGAGAATTATTATTATTTTTTTCGATAGTGAGGAAAATGTTATCAACTCCAAAGCACGAAAAAGGCCAAAAACTAAACCAAGAACATATGCAATAACATGTTATTTATAAAGACAGGACAAGTGAATAATTAGTCAGTCCATTGTTCATGATGATCTCCGACGGTTACGTCGGCAAGCGAGCCTCCGCCACTGCCAAAGCAGCGTGGGCTCCGCAGGAGGGTGCAAATTTCAAACCAAAATTTACACGCCTACAACCGCGAATGCACACGATACAGGATTTCAGAAGGCTGAAGGAAATCCTGCATCTAACAAATGCCATAACATGAGAGTAATGCTCACCCCTCTTCTCCGCCAAGAGATGAGCAATTCGTTTGTACAGTGCTGTTGATGCCGGACCCATTCCGCCACTGGCTGACATGACCGCCGGAACAAAGGAGGCTTGCTCAACCTGCCTCACCCGCTCCTCATAGTGCCTTCTCTTTTCTTTTTCATGTCGCTGATACACAATAGTATGTGGTGCAGATCGATTTGAGCGTGAGTGAGGATTAAAAACCCGTATATCAATAAGTGTACGCTCAAAACGACTGCCCCACAAACCATTGGTAGCGACATCCAACCGCGCACGGTCTTCCACATTTGCGGTCCGGTAGCGAAGACGCTCCCCCGTCAGCGGTTGCAGCAAGGGCTCGATGGACACACTGGTGCACACCTCGTCCAGCAGCCGGGCCGTGACGTCCCGAATACCATTGTGTCTAATGGAGGGAAACCCTCCATAGGGGCACGACAGGGAATGCGCGACAGTTGCCTCTTGGCCGCAAGAGCAGTGTGACGGTACCCTGGCCGGTGTCCATCCGTAACGGAGGCAGAGTCCGTCCCAAAACTCTCCCTTTGTTAAATTAAAATGATATTTCTTAAGTGGACGGCACGTCAGCCAGCTCGACGACCCTTTCTCCTTCGCGACGTCTATGACATGTCGTAGCGACTCCGACGCACTGCCCGATATCGCGTCGAATTCCAGTTTCTGATGACGTCGAGAAGATGCCTTGGCGTCTCTCTTGGCCGATCTGATTAACACTACCGAGTCACCGATGGAGCCATCCCCCGACAAGATTCTCCGAGACAAAGGGTTGGTCATCCGAACCGACGAGTCGTATTGTTGGCATAGGGAAACAGGGTTAATCAAACCGAGCCCACCCAGACGACACGGCAAAGCCATAAGCCGTCGGAGGGTGTCGCCTGGGGGTGCACGGCAAGTTAAGGCGGGAATCAGTTCAGACTTCACAATGTCCTCCAGCGGTTGGAACATGGGTTCGGGTACCTTCATGGTACGACAGAGGAACGCCCATCTACCCCTGAGGCCCATCACATACGCAGAATACGCAGCCTGCGGCTGGGTTTGTGCAAATACTGCTAGCTTCTTCAGTTCCCCCATCCATTCGTCCACCTTTGTTTTGATATAGCTTTGAAGAAAGCTGTCCCTTCCGATTGCTGCGCCAAGATATCGTGATCCCTCGTCCGTTATCATTACACCAGTGTCTCGAAACAATTCAGTCGCCTCCTGGTAACACCTTTCCTTGACGACAAGGACCGATTTCTTTGGGTTTACGTAATATCCATATGCCGGTCCTCTCTTGTCCATTATGTCCCACCATCTGCGAAGACGAGCAGCAGCGGATGAATCGTCCGCGAACCATGACTGCACCGCACCCGCCTCATCCGCCAAACGTATCAAGGGCATTATTCCCAACGCGTACATGTACATTGCAAGGGGATCACCCTGTGTTGTCCCTTCTTGCGACAGGATACTTTCACCGTCCACGTAGAGATGAGCTGGATCACGGTAGGTATTAATTAGAACGGTAGCAAGTGATGGAC